TTGTTGGCTGGTTTGCTGGAATATGTCTTATACTAGGAGGGTCACTACTTAATTGCACTGTCTGTTCATCGGAAGTCCATCCATCCTCAGTCCATTACACAGTAACAGAAATGCAAGATCACTGTCAACACTTGGAAACTGAAAATAGTCCTGAAAATCTAGGAGTTTAAGTAGTACAGACAGTCTTCTCTTTCTTTTCAGAACTCTAGCACAAGGCAGAAGCTTGTTCCAATAATGATTCAAAGGACCCTTTGTTACTTAGCTGATTCATTAAAGTTGTGTGTCTAATTCTTTCTTCCTGTAATTGTTCTTTCAACGTAGTGTCGTCGCTCCGGGGGGCAAAACTGTTTTGTTTTGCAGCAGGACATTAAAGCTATCATGACTGTATGGAAGAACCACTACTTTGTTTTGCTATTAAAGCTGAACTGTAGACCCCCAAAATGTATAAGGTTGCTCTCTCGTATGTTGGTTAAGAGCCAAAAATGTTAAGTTTCCTTTTCATGAGAAGCCAATTAAGTGGAATTCAAAGGCTTTGACTCCCTATGGCACAACCATCCACCTATCTGATCCAGTAACATTTTCATGATCTAGAGTATTTCCCACCTCTACAAATACCCTCAAAATACTTGTGTTCTGGGTATAGACTTTTGCTACAGAGAGAAGGAGATCTCTGTGTAAGAACTGTGTTTCTTTATCCAGGAAAATTCCCAAAACCCTAAGAAGACTGGCAGAGATCTCGTTTTTTTTAAAGCACTCTTAGTTTCTTAAAAATGCTGCATGTAATTCACCAGCATCACAGGCCAGTGTCCCAAAACAGCTAGTCGTTTGTTATCCCAACCTACTATGGGGAAAACAAGACACAAAAGTTAACCTGGATGTTCTGGCACCTGCATATTTCAGATACAAAGAAAAAAATTAAAGAGCCAGGGGTGGCTGAAAAATACCTAGTTGAAAGAGTTAATCTGCTCATAAGCATTTGCTATTTTATAGAGTATAGGAACTGAGTTTTTAATCATGAATACTTGAACGGCATTCAGTGAAAGATTTCGGTTAAACTTTTATCATATATAGCAGTTCTTGTACATGGAATTAGTCTGATTTTAAACAAATATACTTCTTAAAACTTCGTAAAATAAATGCAGTATTTTTCACAGGCAGACCACCTTATTTGTTAAACTATATAAAGTTTGCATGGGCTTATCCAAATATACGGAATGTGAATTATTCAGGTTATGAATTTTATCATCCCAAACAATGAGCTAATTAAAAACATCCAGAACTATTAAAACTACTTAGTGAAAAGGGTTGGAGTATTGTTACCCCAATAGCGATAGAAAGGGCACTATTATTGAGTGTATGCTTTTCTGTTCAAAGACCAGCTATTTTCTGAAAAGCAAAACCAATGGAATATGAGCCCAGCTGCAGCCACATCTTTGAATTACTGATTTATCACGTTATTTCTCTATACTCAAAGCAAATCCACAAGAAACCAGATCAAACGAAATCTGTCAAAAATCCTTTTACGAAATAGCATATAAAAGGAGGGAATTATTTCACAGCTTACAAAGTTTATGTTTAGCGCAACAAGCACTAAACAGCAAACGTATCTGTAGTAGTTGGTAGAGATATTCCTGAAGCGTTTGGACTCTATTATTAAAATGGATTTAGCCCACATAAGTAGGATGCAATTAGCTGGAATTTTATTATTTTTGTTAGGATAGGTTTTTACTGGTGCTTATAATAATTTGTCAGACTGGAAAAAATCTCAATTTGGATGTAAATGAACTGGAGACCTGGGACTTGGGACTCTGGCAAACCCGTACTGTTCAAGACGAATCAAGAGGAACACAGTGTAAGGACTTTGATTCTTTATTAGTTTTGCCTGCAGAGTTCAGGATTTTAGTGTCTACATCGAATGGGCTTGGGCTTTTGAGTCTCCTGATCTCTAGTTTTTGGACTGCCTGAAAATGGGAGCTTTGCAACATGAACTAAAAGAAATGACTGTTTACTGCATAAAGGAATACTTTTATGGATATCTGGAATCTGAACCTTACCCCCAGTTTCTTGCGTTACCCATGTTATGGCACAAACATTTTGGAATGAGGCTATTCTGGAGATTGTCCCAGATGGGAATTCGGGGGTGCACTATTTTCTGGCTGGTTTGGTAGATTCTTTGTGATACAAGGAATCATTACTTATATGCACAGCTTGTTCAGCTAAAGATCACGAATAGTCAGTTTGTTATGCAGTGGCAGAAATTCAAGATACCTATCAACTTTTGTAAATCGGAAATATAGATCTGAACATTTAAGAGACTTTAAGAAGGGCAGACACCCGTTTCCTTTCAAACTCGACGAGAAGAATCAAACTTTTCAGTTCAGGATTTGTAGGTTTATCTGACACAGACGAACCACCTCACCTACAAGGTGTTAGATTTTTAAAAAAACTTTGTTATTCCCTTTAATCACCAAGTTAGAACACTGCACCCTTCCTGCAAGTCCGGTAAACCATTTTCATGTTCATTGTGGAGAGAAAAAACAATTGAGACTTAACAGTGATTAGACTAATTACTTTGGTTGTATCTGTCGATATGATAATACAGTTTATGACTGCACATATCTGGTAAATAAAATACAAAATCATAATATATGGATGTTTAGTTTAAAAAGTTACCACACATTTTCACGTGTTGATCAATGTATCTGTCATATAAAAATAACTTACTATGGATCTAAAGTATGAGTTCTGGATTTTCTATTATGGAATATAGGCTTGATTCTATTCAATTAAATGGAAAAAAAACCTCCCAGTGACTTAATTGAGCAAGAATTTTTTCTTTGACTTGCGTATTTCCAACACTTAAGAAGCCTAAATAGTTTGCATTGGTGGATTTGCTGTGACAAGAAGGTAATGGGCAAGAAAGTTCTCGGTGTCCATTAAAAATGTTTATGCAAGACCTAGTGGGGTAGATCCTCAGGTGGTGCAAGGAGTCATAGCTCCACTGACTTCAGCAGAGCTATGGCCATTTACACCGTCTGAGGCTCTACCTCAGTCTCTCTGTTCTCTCATGTGCTAGGGTGACAGAGAGCAGAGGAGGGAGGTTAATGTGGGAAAGTGGAGTCCAGAGTTCCATGCCTATCTCATGTCACATGTAAATATATTTTTTGTACTATCAGTTTATACAGACCTCAATTTTCTCCATCACTAGAGCACCACACGCATTGGCACAAACTGTAGCTCATAAGAGCCTCAGGCCTAGAATACATTCCAGGACAATACTGAGCTGTGTTGCCTGCACGTGGAAGTTTGCACTTTGGATGGTTGTGGTCATAGCTATTATACACCGTTTTAATGAGCAGTGAATCTACTTGGACATTAACACTGGAGTTTAAGTGAAAACCGATGAGAGCACTTCCATTAGCATGATATGCCACGATCCTAAGGACTAGCAGTGATTGACGTTAACACTGCAGTGACTTTCTGAAGTCAACAAAAATAGTAAGTGAACATCTACTTTTGCAAAGAGCTCAGAAACAGCCCAGGAATCAAAGATTTCACTAAAATTAAACACTAGTCTACAAAACGGCTTTGTTAACGTTTTTTATTTTTTTTCAAATCACTGAAACACATTGAAAGTGCAGAGACAAAAGTTAATCTATGTGATGTATTTGCATACTTTTACAGACAAAATTAGAACAGAAACACATTCGGAGTATAACCTGATTAAATATTTAGTTCAGTCCTGAGCATTCGATGCTTAATACAGTATAAACATAGCAACAGTAAAAAAGATTTTAAAATTATTTGATTTGTATCCTAGAACAATTTCTGCTGAACTTCATTCATAATATTGTTTTGTACCTGTAATACTTAATTTTGATTACACAATTGCAATTACATACTGATAACTGAAACACGAGAACTAATTACTGCATTTGTTATTCCCTGTACAGGGTAAACTCTAATTCTTCAAGAGTGAGATTTATAAATCTGAACTTCATGGTTTGTTCATATCCACTTTTAGTTCAGTCTATTGAATGTTTCAGCAGTGTGAATAATTTGAATTAGTAAAAAACAAAACCCCCACAACTGTTAAAAGCTGCCTATAAATAAGTTTGTAACGCTACTAATGAGTTGGAAAGTGAGGAGAAAGAGCTGATATGTTTAAGTCTGTCTCATTTTAAAAATGAGCAAATTTTGCAAACTAAAGCCATCAGAACTTGACCGTCTTGGCCACACCCAATCAGAATTTATATTTTTATACTCCTCTGAAGGTTATTCAACATATACACAAACAGCAGCTAGTCTGGCAAGAATTTAGAAAGCTGTAAATATTTCCCACAATAGTTTAACATCAAACATTTTAAATGGCCAGAACTGAACTATATTTAACAGAACATAAATAAGACTGTAAATAAATAAAAAAATAAATCATACGGTACAATTCTACACATCCTACCAACACTTTATATAATCAAACTGAGAAGCTGAAACAGTCAACCTTCGTTTCACCTCTACAGTAAATGTCAAACTTCTGTTTTTAAAGTTTGACCTCACAAGCATGAATCATATCTTCTTGTTTCTAGTAGTCGTGTGTGTGTGTGTTAAAAGAACAGCAATAAATGGATATCCATGAAGAATGATAGTCAGTCAGTTGGCCTGACTGGCACTTGTTCAGAACTGTGTGGCCTCCAGTTATACATTTATTATTTCAAATCCTTTAAATGTATTTGTGTATCACAAGAAAATCCTTGGTGTGTTTAACAAAAAAGATTCTAGGCACAGAATTTTCTTACCTTGACATTCGCAAACATATTGTAGCTATGTTCTCTTCATCTTTCAACAAGGCTAATTACTTTCTGGAAAAGTGAAGTGCTATGTATAGGTGGCTTGTCAATATAATCTGTAGGTTAAGGACAAAGATTCTATCCATAGAATAAAAAAAAAAACTTTGAATTTAACATTTTTTTCAAAAACCTTCAGAGATTAGGTACTGTAGATACAAGTTGAGTTACATTGTTTTGGCTATAAGATCAACCACAAAGTTTTGTTTTACCCAACAGCGTGTTGTAGATGCTTTATTCCAGATCTGATGCAGTCGCATGCTTCCCCAGGGACGATGACAAGCACATCCACATTGTGAAACAAAAAGGTCTGGTCAGATAAGTGAAAATTCTATTTTGATAGACATCTTGTGCACATTTACTCCTTAAGTTTGTTCAACTTGAACCATCATTATTCTGAAAAACAGCTTGTGTTTCATTTACTTAAAAAAAGGTAATGAGTACTGGAGTACATACCCAACTGAAATAGTTTATGGTTTCTAGGTCACAGATTTTTCCAGCATGGATTTCTACACCAACAATACTTCCGGTACTAGCGTCAGTGGATTCATTTTGAATTTGATGGGTAGTTTTTCCTCTTCTGACAACAGCACGGGTTTAATTTTTCATGAACCTGATCTTTTTTACATACTGCTTGTTGACAAAAGTAGACAACATTTAGGTCAAAAGGTTACATTTAAACGTAAGATTTGACAGCGCAGTGGTATGACTACTCATCTATAAACACTTTGATGTGTATTTGATTCAGCTTCAGTTTCAGAAAGCAGCTGCCCTTTTGGTAGTGTCACTGTTAAGAGGTTTTAGGGTTACTGGTCTGCCCTTTCCCCTCCCCACCTTGCAGATGCAAAGTACTGTACAGTGCAGCCCAAAGTACTGTACATTCACAAAATTATACTCCTGCACTCAGTACTCCACCTTCTTTCTTCACAGAAATAAAAAGGACAGTCAGGAAATGGTTTTCAGAAACAAAATCCCAACGTAGGTGATGGAAATCTAAACTGCACCTGTTACGAGGCAGCCTTGCTGTTTTGGAAAGGAGCTTGCATTCATGGTTAATTTCAAACTATAAAAGTCACACTTGTACAAAAATATTGCATGGCATAACAGCCATCTTCACAGTCTGCTCACGTGAAAATAGTGAAAAGACAAACAATCTTCTGTTGAACGTAATATTTCTCAACACAGTGCGGTTCAACAGGATACACACTTTCCTTTGTTCCATCTTTACAAAATAAGAGCACACATGCGATACATACAAACTGTACAAAATTAGCATCCGTGTACCAGAAGTGTTCCACTTTGGTTTTCTGCTAGTTGTGGTTTGTTTGTTTGTTTGTTTGTTCGGCGCCTTTTAACAGACAAGAACTCAGTTCGCTGTATTTTACAAATGAACATCTTTATAGTCGGATGTAAAATAGAAGATCTTTAAAAGCAGGAGGTTCTAACTACAAAACGTTCATCTAAAAAGATGAGCAAGTGGAAAAATACTTCAGTGAAAAATGTAATTATACATCATCTGCTGGTAGGGATGGTATGTTGATCTTCGCTCTTGTGAAGTAAGCTATCTTCTCCCTAGAATTAGAAAATAAGTTTAAGGAAACCTTTAAAGTGATCAGCAGCTAAAATACCACAAGAACTCCAACAGCTTCAGTATGTGATGAATAACGTAAGAGAACAGCTCTTTAAACTATCGGTTTTATGCAAAAATTTCAAGTACAAATAATTTATTCTATTGACTAAAATCCTTGGGGTCAGTGCTTTCAAGGTATCCAATGAATATGCTTGCAGAGAACGCTGTTGCCAGAGAAGTCTGAAATGAAGGGCCTATATTATGCACACTTATCAAAAGAGAGAGAAGCTCCAGTGGGAACAAAAAATGAAGCTTCTCAGTACAGCAGCAGCAGCAACAAAAACTCGTAATCATAACATTGCGATCATGGTAACCATATATCCTAATATGGCATTAAAAGGGGAAGAGTCACTGCTAAAAGAGCGTTTGACATCTGATCCAGACTTTGAGAAAGAAAATTAGTGGAAGGGAAAAACAGGGCAGGAGTAACAAGCTGCATGAATTCCCTCAAAAAGAGGTAGGTAGAATTGTCACTATATGTTCCAGTTGCTTCCCCAGGCCTATCATCATCACCTCAGCCTTATCTGGATTACGCTTCAGTTAGCTAGCTAGCTAGCTCTCATGCATGTACCAGTCTCACTCAGATACTGAACCGGCTTTCAATAGCACTGCATGGCTTATAAGGGAAAGATACAGAGCTCAATGTCATCAGCATGCAGAAAGTACCTCCCCATTAGCCCTCTCAGTAGCCCAATGGACACGATGAATGAGATAGGGACAAAAGAGAGCCTTGAACTCCACAAGCCATTGCCCCTAGGGGATAAAGAGCCACACTACTCTTGGGGAGTACTTGGCAAAGGAAGGAACAGCGGCACCAAAGAGCAGTTGTGCCTTCTCTTGCTACAGTCTACAGCAAATCTGTAACATTTCATAATGAACAGCATTGAAAACAGCAGATTTATCAGCACAGGCACCAGGATCTTCACACTTCAGTAGGAGATCATCCACCGTTACTACCAATGCCAGCCCTGTACCCACGTTTGTACCAGATTGAAAAGTTTCAAGCAGATCTGGGGCATCTAGATACTCTTAATTGTCTCTATCACCTTAACCAAAAATGGGAGACTAGACAGCCGGTGGCATTTAACCATATTGCCAATGTTACATATTGGTTTCCTGATCAAGGGTTGCGCAACAGCTCCCTGAACAGATACCACCTACATGACCTGTCGGAAGGAGGGGGTCGACAAGCTCCACTAGCAACAGACCGACTACTCTCCTGCTGACCCTTACCAGCCAAGAAGGAAGTGAATTCAAAGAGACAGCAAAACACCTCTAATCTCTCTCATTGAATTGGACTGAACTTGACTCCAGTTCCTGCCACTCATTCACAGTAGCAGGCAGCCAAGCCCAAATCTGCTCAGTTTTATTCACAACATATCCCTCATAACTAGAGGAACTTTATCAACTACCCCAGGAAGGCAGCTCTGATCAACAAGTTCTCTGTCACCCAAACCTAATCTATTGATTGAGACGTTTTGGATGATATGGCAGAGGCAAAGAATCTTTACTTTGCCTCCCACATAACCATGGCATAAGAATTTAAAGACTCTTTATGACTCAATCTCTGAACATCAGCCCCAGATTTCCGTCTCTGGAGACTTTGCTGTCTTCATTCTCACTTCACCCATGATAGGTTATCTATAGACGAAGGAAATCCATGAGGGCAAAGCCAGATAAGATGGTGCATAGGACACAACGTATATGTAACCCTTCTGCCTGTCAGAGTTGGCAGCAACAAGGGCCGGGTTCAGTATCTAGGGGTTCCATTCCAATAACATAATGCAAAACCGGCTCAAGCCCCCACCCAGTGACCTGGGACAAATTTATACCACCCCCGCTGGGCGCCTCCAAGAGGCAATACTTCCCCTCTCACAAGCGCATAGTCTGAATGCAGCAAAAAGCCTTTTAATAACAGAGAGAAACAATGTGGCATTATGTTGGGGAAACACCACCAACGGGATTCATAACACAACCCATGAGCAAAAAATCCACCCCAAGCAAATTGGGGCGTGTCCTTTCCCTTTGGTTCTTGAGTCCAGCAACCCAAAATCACCCAAAGTCCCAAAAGTCCAACGACCCAAAAGTCTCTGTCCCTGATCAGAGTTCAAAAGTTTATCTGCAGAGTTTTACCTCCCAACCTGGGTGAAGATTTGGGGAGGAGGTGGTGAAGGGGCACCTTACGTGGTCCAAAGCTGATGGCCCCACCTCTCCCTGGGGCTCCGCTCTGCCAGCTGCCCCATGAGCTGCTCTAGGCATCTGACAAACTGCTCTGCTCCACCAGCCGCTCTGGTCGCCATCCCGCAAACTGCTCTGCAGTATAGCTTCAGGCTCCCCCACTACTTAACACAACACTCAGTGATTTCAGCTCTTAGTAAGTTTAGCTCTTTTGTGACTTCAGCTTGTAGTAGGGGAGCCTCAGTGCTCGTGCACCATTGGCCCAAAGTGAATTCAGCTCAGCAGCCTGTAACTAGACTCCTAATGGAATCAAAATTAGCTCTAATATTCCACAGTGGAGAGAGGAGGAAGTGCAATTAGCATGTAAGGCCCTCACGAGGGGGCCCATGCCACCAAGTATTAATACCTGTCCCCAGACTCTCTCAAGTCACAAAGTTTTGGAACCCATATCCCTTGCCTAGCAAGTGCTCCTTAGTTGACGGCGAGTCCCTCCGTCATAACAAAAGGCCAAGTACAGGTCCACTGTCCTTGATACCCATAATCAGGGTAATAACAATTTATTATTCCTGCCCCAATAACAGAGACACTGGGGATCCCACGGCAGCCAAAGTGACCATTTTGGCAGCAATTGGCTCATGCTAGGTGGGGTGGATGTGCCTATGCAAATGAGATCGGCCCCTGAAGTTCTTTTCCACAACTTGCCACACCTCACCACCAGATGTCAGGGTGGAGCTCATCCTGACTCTGCTTACATATAGATTATGGATGATAAAAGTTTACAATATTCTACCAACCCCTCAATAGTGATCTTTCACAGGAATATCTTCCCACAGAGCCTCCTAGAGGTGCTCTACTTTCATTAGTTTTTGAGTGGGGACCATTAAAACAGGTCCATCGCCTGACAGGATAGGCGTGCCCTAAACTCAAACTATAGGGGGCTATTTCCCCAGTACATGGAGCCTGGATTCCAACTGCCTAAGCTTGAGCTCCAGTTCAAAACACTCGGTCAAGAGTGCAACTATCTGAACTGAGCCAGTAGCTACCAGTTCACATAGTTACATGGCCATCAGGAACTTCGGAGATGATACCAAGGTTTTATCGTCCCGATGGATGTTGAAGTCATTGTGTAACTATCTGCCTCAATTCCTCCAACACCACTACGGTTAGGAGCTTCCATAGCTCATGCCAAGATCTGGGAGAGCAATGGGTTGATAAGCACTCTGACAAAGTTCCTCCTCTGCCTTGGTGGGTCCTGCGCTTATTGGTGGATTTGCTCGCCTCAGAGGTTCACGGCAGCCCTCAGTTTGGCCACTTTCAAGGCTCAAATCTGCCGTTCACTCAGTTAGCCTCATCACTGGCCAGCATGGGGAAAAGGAAGAACAACAATCCCTTCAGTCTCTGCTGATCCACCTAATGGATTGGGGAACAGGCCAGAGACCTTCCCCTCTGTTGGAACCCACAGTCCAGGTCAACTCCTCCGGTATCAAGTTGGGAGAATGGAGGGATGGGGGGAACCCGGGCCCGCCCTCTACTCCGGGTTCCAGCCCAGGGCCCTGTGGATTGCAGCTGTCTACAGTGTCTCCTGTAACAGCTGCGTGACAGCTACAACTCCCTGGGCTACTTCCCCATGGCCTCCTCCCAACACCTTCTTTATTCTCACCACAGGACCTTCCTCCTGATGTCTGATAATGCCTGTACTGCTCAGTCTTCCAGTAGTATGCCTTCTCACTCTCGGCTCCTTGCGCCTCTTGCTCCCAGCTCCTCGCACACACACCACAAACTGAAGTGAGCTCCTTTTTTAAAAAACCCAGGTGCCCTGATTAGCCTGCCTGTCTTAATTGATGCTGGCAGCTTCTTGATTGGCTGCAGGTGTTCTAATCAGCCTGTCTGCCTTAATTGTTTCCAGAAAGTTCCTGATTGTTCTGGAAACTTCCCTGTTACCTTACCCAGGGAAAAGGGACCTCCTTAACCTGGGGCTAATATATCTGCCTTCTAGCACTCTCTTGTAGCCATCTGGCCTGACCCTGTCACAGCACCCAAAAATTAGTCACAAATTAACTCCATTCCAAGACACACACACACACACAGAAGATAAAGACAATATATTTTATCCAATTTTGCAGTGAGTGACTGCTGTATTCTGAGTTGGAGGCAAACAGCATGGCCATACTACCTCCCTGATCATTCTCCTTAGGTTGATTCTGTACTAAATAGCTGGCTGCTGCATCAGAATGGATCCATCAGTATTATCCTACCAGCTTTTGGTGATGCAAGCAAGATCAGGTACTTCATCCTTCAGTCACCACAGGTGACACTATTCACCACCAATCTTGCATTTAACAGCATGAGCCTAAGGCTAGAACCACAGCCTCTTAAGAGTTAATGACAGGCAAAACCAACAGAAATGAAATTTATAAGATATCATTTCTGCTTTACACTGAACAAAACCCATAAACAATCTCTACCTGCCTTGTTTCTCCCTTGTGGCTGTCAAAAGGGACTAGAGCGGGCCAAAGCCTCCCAGCCAGCCATCCAATTATGGTGCCAGTTGTGAGGATTTCCTGATCAAATAGATATTGCCTTAACACTAACTTAACTCACTATTATGTGTCCTAGATTGATTGGCATCTGGGAGATTTACTAAAATTATGCCAAAGAATCTCTGTTAGCCCTGGTCTACACTCCAGGGTTAGGTCGATTTTATAATGAATGCGTCTACACAAGAAACCCCGTTCCATCCAGGGCTCTTAAAATTGACTTCTGTACTTCTCCCTGGCGAGGGGAGGAGCGCTAAAATTGACCTTGCTGGGTCAAATTTGGGGTAGTACGGATGCAAATCTACGTTACTGGCCTCCGGGAGCTATCCTAGAGTGCTCCAATGTGACCGCTTTAGACAGCACTTTCAACTCCGATGCACTAGCCAGGTACACAGGAAAAGCCCTGGCAACTTTTGAATTTCATTTCCCATTTGGTCAGCGTGGCAAGCTCAGCAGCACAGGTGACCATGCAGTCTCCTCAGAATCGCAAACAAACTCCAGCATGCAGCGAAGGGGAGACACTGGATCTGATTGCCATATGGGGAGAGGAATCTGTGCAGGCAGAGCTCCGATCAAAAAGAAGAAATGCTAATATATATGCCAAATCGCACAGGGCATAATGGACAGAGGCTACAACAGGGACCCACAGCAGTGCCACGTGAAAGTCAAGGAGCTCAGGCAAGCCTGCCAAAAGACAAAGGAGGCAAATGGTTGCTCTGGGTCAGAGCCCCATACATGCCGCTTCTGTGAGCGGCTGCATGGCATTCTAGGAGGGGACCATACCACTACCCCACCACTGTCCGTGGACACCTGCAAGGGGGGAGTCTCATGCAACATGGAGGAGGATTTTATGGAGGAGGAGGAGAATGCGCAGCAGGCAAGCGGTGAATCCGTTCTCCCCGGCAGCCAAGACCTTTTCATCACCCTGGAGCCAATACCCTCCCAAGGCAGGATCCCCGACCCTGAAGGTGGAGAAGGCACCTCTGGTGAGTGCACATTTGTAACTACAGTACAGGGTTTAAAAGCAACAGTGTTTAATGTTTGATTTGCCCTGAAGACTTGGGATGCATTTGCGGTCAGTATAGCTGCTGGAAAAGTCTGTTAATGTGTCTGGGGATGGAGCAGGAATCCTCCAGGGAGATCTCCATGAAGCTCTCCTAGAGGTACTCTGAAAGCCTTTGCAGAAGGTTTCTGCGGAGGGCTGCCTTATTTCAATCTCCACAGTAGGACACTTTATTAAGCCAAGCCAGTAGCAAGTAGTCTGGAATCACTGCAGCACAAAGCATGGCAGCGAATGGTCCAGGGATTTGGTCGCATTCAAGCAACATTCGGTTTTTATCTTTCTGTGTTAGCCTCAGGAGGGTGATATCATTCATGGTCACCTGGTTGAAATAGGGGAATTTTTGTAAGGGAACAGTAAAAGGACCCCGTTTATGCTGGGCTGTTTGTGCTCGGCTAAAAGGGATCATCCCACAGCCACACTGCGGGGGGAGGGGTGAAGGAATCATCCCAAATAGCCACGCGGGGGGGTAGAGGGAGGTGTGTGCTGCACATCCACACGAAAACCGCAGCCCCTCCTTTTAAATGGCAAACCCAACCGGCATTGCTATGGGAAAGGAGGGTGCTGCAGTTTGAAAACATTCCCACATGTTATGAAGGCGTAAGAAGCCAAACCCGCTCACCCTTTGGCTTACCATGGCTGCCTGGAAACCAAATTCTGTTGACCAGCCAGCCATGTGTGATGTGTCACCACACCAGCAGGCGCTCAATATAAAAGGCAAAATGCGACCTTGTACCTAAAGCACATGTGCTGTCTGCTGTGAATTGCTTGATTCACTGGGAAAGAGTCTCCCTTTTGTTCTCAGAAATGTATCATCTTAAATTTTACTCTCCCTTTTTATCCCCCCACAGGTGCAAGTGTTTCTATGTTCCCCCTATCATCTCCGTCCCTGAGATTATCATAGATCAGAAGGCGAAAAAAATGAACTTGCAATGACATGTTTTCCGAGCTCATGCGGTCCTCCCGCACTGATAGAGCACAGCTGAATGCGTGGAGGCATTCAGTGGCAGAGTCCAGGAAAGCGTTAAGTGAGTGCAATGAGAAGAGGCAGGATGCAATGCTCAGCCAAACGGGGGAGCAAACGGACATGGTCAGATGTCTGGTGGAGCTGCAGGAAAGCCAACAAGAGCACAAACTGACGTGGCATCCACTGTAAAAGCTCCTGCCCTCCTCCCCAAGTTCCATATTCTCCTCACCCACACGCCCAAGAACGCAGGCGGGTTGGGGAAGGCGGCTCCGGGCACCCAGCCACTCAACTCCAGGGGATGGCCTAAGCAACAGAAGGCTGTCATTCAAACAGTTTTGGTTTTTAGCGTGGCTACAATAAGCAATGTGCCCTTGTAGTCTCCTTCTCCCCTCCTCCCCCACCTCACCTAGGCTACCTTATCAGTTATCGCCCTTTTTAAAAAAATTAATACATAAAGAATGCATGGTTTCAAAACAATAGTGACTTTATTTCCTTTGCCAGCTGTGATCGAAGGTGGTTGGCTTACAGGGAATTAAAATCAAGAAAGGAGGCGGGTTTGCCTCAAGGAGAAACACACACAACATTTCCCAGAGTGACTACCCTTGATAGCAGAATGTCAGTGATTGCACTGGCTACTTGAATCACAGCAGTCTCAACAGTAGATTTGCCCATTCCAATTGATTCCCGACTGACCGGTAGCAGTCAGGCGTTGCAAGCTTCCACAGGGCTATCACCACTTGCTTCTCAACTGTCAGGGAAGCTCTCATCTTAGTATTCCTGCACTTCAGGGTGGGGGAAAGCAACTCACAGAACTCCAGGAAAGTGGCCTCACACATGTGAAAGTTTCGCAGCCACTGGGAATCATCCCCTACCTCCAAGACTATGTGGTCCCACCAGTCTGTGATTGTTTGCTGGGCCCAGAATTGTCGTTCCACTGTATCAACCAGCCCCACTGCCGCCATGATGTCCCAATTGCCACATCCCATGCTTTCAGTAACGTCTGTGTCCATGTCCTCCTCACAATCGTCCTCACACAATCGTGCTGCTGTCTCTTAGCCAGATTCTGCACATACTGCAGTATAATGCGCGAGGTGTTTACAATGCTCACAACAGCAGCGGTGAGCTGAGCAGGCTCCATGCTTGCCGTGCTATGGCGTCTGCACAGGTAACCCAGAAAAAAAGGTGCAAAATGATTGTCTGCAGTTGCTTTCATGGAGGAAGGAGGGGAGACTGACAACATGTACTCAAAACCACCCACGACAATGCTTTTGCCCCTTCAGGCATTAGGAGCTTAACCCAGAATTCCAATGGGCAGCGGAGACTGAGGGAACTGTGGGATAGCTTCCCACAGTGCACCGCTCCGTGAGTCTATGCTAGCCACGGTAGTGAGGACGCACTCTGCCGATTTAATGCTCTTAGTGAGGACATACTGGATTAAGAGAAGATGTAGGTTTTGACTAATACTGCACTGGCATATTGGCTTACGCTCAGATAATTCATGTTCCAACACTACAGCAAATTGACCAATTCTAAATAAAAGGATGTTCTTAAAACGAGAGCTTAGACTGACCAACTCTACAGATTTAGAAGAGCCAGAAGACCAACCAGAACATGCTGTACCTGAACGACTGCACTTCCACTGGCACTTTCTGGCTCTGTTCCCGTAACCGACACACATCCTTGGAAGCTTTTCTCATCAATTTTTCAGCACTTAAACCCTGTTTCTGTTCCTCCTTTGATTGTTCAGCCTGTAGAGGGGGAAAATTACAACATCCAGCAATTGACAATTTCAAAGAGGCTGTAGGAGGAAGAATGTAGAGTTAAATCCATCAGGCAAAATCTCTTTATACAAGGGAGTTTATGGAACATAGCACAAAGTTACCGAGAACTCAAGTAGAAGTGGTGTGCATCGCTTCAATAGGGAGCTGAGCGTTACTTTAGAAATGGAAAGAATGCACCAGCACATCTGCTAGCTAGATGCCTGAGGTGAGATAATTTATTTCCTGGGTTTATAACAGACCAGGGCCATGCCAGTTTGTTGTAGTTATGTTCCTGAAAAATGCGACTTTAAGCTAAATCATTTTAATTCTTATGGGGAAATTGGATTCGCTTAATGTAAATGGGGGGGTTAGGTTCCAGGGAAATTTTTTTCACCAGACAAAAAACTATATATATACACACACACACAGAGAGTTTTAAACAAACACATATTGCTGTGTTTAATACTGTACACAGCAATGATGATTGTGAAGTTTGGATGAGGTGGTGAAGTTAGAGGGTGGAAGAGGGTGGGATATTTCCCAGGGAACGCCTTACTGCTAAATGATGAACTAGCACTCGGCTGAGCCCTCAAGGGTTAACACATTGTTGTTAATGTAGCCTCACACTCTACAAGGCAGCATGAATGGAGGGAGGGGAAGACAGCATGGCAGAGAGAGACAGCGACACACACCCTGTGTGAGGGAGAGAGAGACATGCGTATTGCCCCTTTAAGTACACTGACCCCATTCTAAGTACATTGCCTTTAAAAAAATCAGGAAGTTGAGACAGCAGCTGCGGCCAGCTCTCTCCGTCCTGAGCCCTGTCCTGTCCCCACCCTGCTTTATATGGAGAAGGGGTAAGGGGGGCAGGAGTAGGGGAGAGGGGGACACCCTGACATTAGCCCCCCCTTCCCTGCACAGCAAGCAGGAGGCTCCCAGGAGCAGCTCCAAGGCAGAGGGCAGGAGCAGCACATGGCAGTGGGGGGAGGGACAGCTGAACCGCTGGCAAGTAGTCTGGCAAGCTGGTAGTCTGCTGGGCAGCTGCTGCACAGGGAACTTAGGGGAGCAGGGAGCTGATGGGGGGCTGCCGGTCCACCCTGGTTCCAAGCTCCCACCAGCTAGCTCCAACGGGCTGCTCTTCCTGCAAGCCGTGGACAAAGCAGGCGGCTGCCAAACCTTATAAGGGAGCACTGCACAACTTTAAACCAGCATGTTCCCTAATTGATCAGCAACGTAACAACGAGACAATGTTAACTGGGACGACTAAGTGAGGAGTTACTGTACCAGTCATTGCCTGGCCAAGTGTTTAGTTACAAAAAGGAAAGAGAAGGTGCCTTCCTAATATTTAAAATACTTCTGCCCATTTATACTTCTCTACAATGCTGTTCTTACCAGCTTCTTAAAAAGAGACCAGCTTGGCATTAGAGCTTAGCCCCTCTTATGTTAACTATTTTAGATCGATTACTTACAAATGACCATTTGCTTTAGGATTGCTAAGGAAAATAGTAGGGCTGTCGATTAATCACAGTTAACTCACGTGATTAACTCAAAAAAATTAATTGCGATTAATCGCAGTTTTAATTGTACTGTTAAACAATGGAATACCAATTGACATTTATTAAATATTTTGGATGTTTTTCTACAATTTCATATATACTGTATTCTGTGTTGTAATTGAAATCAAAGTGTACATTATTTTTAAATACAAATATTTGCACTGTAAAAATGATAAACAAAAGAAATAGTATTTTTCAATTCACCTCATACAAGTACTGTAGTGCAATCACTTTGTCATGAAAGTGCAACTTATAAATGTACATTTTTCTTGGTTACATAACTGCACTCAAAAACAAAACACTGTAAAATGTTAGAGCCTACAAGTCAACTCAGTCCTACTTCTTGTTCAGCCAATTGCAAACAAGTTTGTTTACATTTACAGGAGATAATGCTGCCCTCTTCTTATTTACAGTTTCACCAGAAAGTGAGAACAGGCATTCGCATGGCACTTTAGCATATCTGGCATGTAAATACCTTGCAATGCCAGCTACAAAACATCTGTATGTTCCTTCATGCTTCGGTCACCATTCCAGAGGATATGCTTCCATGCTGATGATGCTCTTTAAAAAAATAACGTGTTAATTAAATTTGTGACAACTTCTTAGGGGAGAATTTTATGTTCCTTGCTCCGTTTTACCTGCATTCTGCCATATATTTCATGGTATAGCAGTCTCAGATGATGTCCAGCACGTTTGTTTTAAGAACACTTTCACTGCAGATTTGAAAAAACACAAAGAAGGTACCAATGTGATATTTCTAAAAATAGCTATAGCACTTGACCCAAGGTTTAAGAATCTGAAGTGCCTTCCAAAATCTGAGAGGGATGAGGTGTGGAGCATGCTTTCAGAAGTCTTAAAAGAGCAACACACCAGAACCCGAAAGCTACAGACCCGAACCACCAAAAAAAGAAAATCAACCTTCTGCTGGTGGCATCTGACTCAGATGATGAAAATGAACATGCGTCGGTCCGCATTATTTTGGATTATTATCAAGCAGAACCTGTCATCAGCATGGACACATGCCCCCTGGAACGGTGGTTGAAGCATGAAGGGACATATGAATCTTTAACATATCTGGCACGTAAATATCTTGTGATGCCAGCTACGACAGTGCTATGAGAACGCCTGTTCTCACTTTCAGGTGACATTGTAAATGAGAAGCAGGCAGCATTATCTTCTGCAAACATAAACAAACTTGTTTGTCTGAGTGATTGGCTGAACAAGAAGTAAGACTGAGTGGACTTGCAGGCTCTAAAATTTTACATTGTTTTATTTTTGAATGCAGTTACTTTTGTACATAATTCTACATTTGTAATTTCAACTTTCATGACAAAGAGATTGCACTACAGTATTTGTATTAGGTGAACTGAAAAATATTATTTCTTTTGGTTTTTTTACAGTGCAAATACTTGTAATAAAAAATAAAGTGAGCACTGTACATTGTATTCTGTATTGTAATTGAAATCAATATATTTGAAAATGTAGAAAAATCCAAAAATAGTTAAATAAATGGTATTCTATTATTTTTTTAATCGCACAATTAACTATGATTAATTTTAATCACTTGACAGCCCTAGAAACTAGTATTTTTATGGCAGTCACCAAATTGCACTGTGGAGTTGGGGTGCCACACAGCATTTTGGAGCAAGTGAGAGCCCATCCCCCTCCCTAGGCTTCAGAGGCCAAGTTCCAGCCTCAGCCACAGCTTCAAAGTGCTAGTGTGAACCCTGCTAGCCCAAGTCTGTCAACACACACTGGGAGGCTCGCTCCTGCTTGCTCCAAAATGCTATGAAGGCATACCCTGAATGTATAGGCTACAAAAAGCAGCACACCTGCAACCTGTTGAAAATGAACATCTCTAATTTGCCTTCAACAACAAAGTCTATTGTACTAACATTTTTAATACCCTCCTATTTCTTTCACTTCATTTTTTTTAAATAGAAGCAATTTTGCAGTAATACAAGAGAAAATATCCACTTCAGAACATTAATACTGAACCACACATTTTAAAGGTGAGAGAAGGAAAAAGAAAGCAGCAAAAATAGCTGTTTTTCTTGTACGTAAGCGATCATTATAGTAAAAAATTGTTCTACTATACTTGCATAGTGTCACTGCACCAGTGATTATAGAAAAGTTACCACCCCGAATAAAGCTATGGTCAGTGTTTATTAGTATCACTGCAGAAACCACTCACCCATCCCCCTGGAAATCCCTCTCTTCCCTCAAAATATCAAGTCAGATTTTAAAATTGAGGTTAATACAGAAATATTTTCCCCATTAGTTCTTGGACACTAGCAGGCATGGTATATACGCAGTAAGAATAGCAATCTGCAACTTACTGCTGGCAAGTAAAGTAACACTTGGAAAATTAATACATGTTTTTTCAGTGGCCATGTGTTAAAATCAAAGGCATTCCCAGCTAATACTGATAATCAGAATATGTAAGCATCCACTATTTCAAGTTTTCTACTTTTATTTTCACTTCACAGATCTATGATATTTCTGGAAATTGTACCACATTTAAGAGTAAATAGCAGGAAAGGAACGTGCTGCCTCTGATAAATGCAGAAACAAAACACCTACAGTGAGAAAGACAGATTGTCAAGAGAAAATTTGCAGCAGATCTGGAAAAAGCTCTCTCTGGGTCAGATCTGCATTTTCAGCACAGGGCAGAAAAGGTCACAGCCACATGGTAAATGGTTTTCTTCTACAGTTCAAGAAAGATAAAATAGCCCCAGTTCTCTCCCTTCCTGGTAAGACAGGTGTGGGTCTCAGTGTTTCACCTGAATGCTTCTGCAAAATGTTACAAAATCGTTTTAATAAAGGACAGAGAGGCATTTACAAAAGTTCCGGTGACACGAGGTAACCTTTTAGTATGGATGTAGGGAGCAATATAGTACATCATGATCATGCCACAGCTTACAGTTTGTAATTATCTGGGGACAGCACTTGAAAGAGTGACTGGTAGGGCTTTTGTTTTGAATTAACTCACTTCAGTACTTAACAGCACCCAAGGAGTTTGTGCTAGCACTACAGGCAGGGGCAACAGACTGGCCACTCTGCCAGACCTGAGATGGCCTGTTATAGCCCTGCCCATCAATCCACTGATCAAAGTGCTTGCAGCTCCCATTTCAAAACCTGAAAAAAATAATAGCAGAGAAGTGTGTTTTCAGAGCACTTTCAATAACTGAGTTGCAGACCCTGTTTCCCCTACCTGAGCAATTCCTACATCAGGTACTGGAGGCACCATGAGCCTGCACTCTCATATTTAATTGGGAAGGGGCTGAGTTGCACCTTCCCCCAATGGAAGCAGCAGGCGCTTCAACTGATCTTGGGAAATCCATGGAGGCAGATATCTCAGTAAACAGGCCCTGTGCCTCTGTACTGGCTCCCAAGCCCCTCCCTCACCTCCAGCTTCTTCCGAACCCACAA